CCCAGGCTGGAGTGCAGGGGTGTGATCTCGGCTCACTGCAACCTCCGCCTCTTGGATTCAAGCGATTCTCCTGCCTCAGCCTCCTTAGTAGCTTGGATTACAGGCGTGCACCACCATGCCCAGCTAATTTTTGTATTTTTAGTAGAGACAGGGTTTCACCATGTTGGTCAGGCTGGTCTTGAATTCCTGACCTCGTAATCCGCCCACCTCGGCCTCCCAAAGTACTGGGATTACAGGCATGAGCCACTGTACCCGGCCACACCGGGCTAATTTTAAAATTTTTTGTAAAGCAAGGGTTTCACTGTGTTGCCCAGGCTGACCTCAAACTTGTCACCTCAAGCTGTCCTCCCGCCTCAACCTCCCAGAGCACTAGGATTAGAGATATGAGCTACTGCAACTGGCCTCATGTGAGTTTTCTTGATTTTGCAGGAATATTTGGGAATTTCGTACTAGGAGTAATGACCTCTAGGTAGGTGGATGTGGGGATTATGGTCATCTTGGGGCTCTCATGCCTCTGTTTTCTTACAGTACATTATCTTTCTGGGGACCCAGTTTGCCTTCATGAAGAAAATACGGCAGCAGGAAGGATAGTGGCCGACTGCCTAACAAATTGTTATCAGGTAAAAAGTAACTGTATCCTTGTACATAGCAACAAACTTGCATCCACTAGGTAGACACATTTCCCTCTAGACAGACTTGTCTCCAGGCTTCTTAAATAAGTAAAGTGTCACTCAAGGACTGAATCCCCATTTGAATTTCCCCAAGGAATGGGGCTTCCCATATAGGGAGGTGTTAACTTGAAAATCATCCTGGTCTGGGCATGGCGGCTTATGCCTGTAATGCTAGCACTTCAGGAGCCTGAGGCAGGCAGATTGCTTGAGTACAGGTGTTCAAGACCAGCCTGGGCCACATAATGAGACCTCGTCTACTAAAAATTTAAAAATTAGCTGGGCAAAGTGGTGCATGACTGTACTCCCAGCTACTTGGGAGGCTGAAGTGGGAGGATCACTTGAGCCCTGGAGGTTGTGGCTGCAGTGAACTGTGATTGCACCACTGTACTCTAGCCTGGGCAACAGAGTGAGACTGCCTCAAAAAATTTTTTTTGAATTAGAAAAGTAAAATGTCCCGGCTGGGTGTGGTGGCTCATGCCTGTAATCCCAGCACTTTGGGAGGCTGAGGTAGGTGGATCACAACGTCAGGAGTTTGAGACCAGCTTGACAAACATGGTGAAAGTCCGTCTCTACTAAAAATACAAAAATTAGACAGGTGTGGTGGCGTACCTGTAATCCCAGCTACTCGGGAGGCTGAGGCAGGAGAATTGCTTGAACTCGGGAGGCGGAGTTTGCAGTGAGCCAGGATTGCGCCATTGCACTCTAGCCTGGGTGACAGAGCGAGACTCTGCCTCTAAATAAATAAATAAAGTGTCCTTTGTTCAAGTTGTTTATCAGCGTTGATTGGATGCCTGGAATGTGCTGAGCAGTGTGCTCAAATAGATGGAAATAAGATGAGATCTTCTAGTCCGGTTGTGCTGAGATAAATTCATATTCAAGAAGTACCATTAATGGCCTATGAGTGGAGGAGATGACAGTGATTGTGCTTATGGAGAGAGGAGTTTCTAGGACCCTTAGACCCTGGAGTCGGTAATTACAGCCCCTGGAATCCTGTATAGGCATTGCGTCCTCCTTCCTTATTCTCCAGTGAGTGCTGATGGACATGTTAGTTGGCTCCAACCAGCATGTGTGTGATGCTTTAGGATTCAGTGACCTTTGATGATGTGGCTGTGGACTTCACCCAGGAGGAGTGGACTTTACTAGACCCAACTCAGAGAAGCCTCTACAGTGATGTGATGCTAGAGAACTACAAGAACCTGGCCACAGTAGGTAAGACTGGCATCATCCTTGGCAGCCTCCTATGGGACTGATAAATGTTATGTGCTTACTGTGTTGTAGCATTAGCGACGTTAACTTGAACACAAAAAGAAATAACAGAGACATAGTCACTATCCTAAATAGGTTTTAATCTGTGACCACTCTCAAAATGTAGTCCAAGATTAATAGCAACACCATCTGTCTGTTAGAAATGTACATTTTCTGCCAGACACGGTGGTTCACGCCTGTAATCCCAGCACTTTGGGAGACTGAGGCAGGCAGATTACCTGAGATCAGGAGTTTGAGACCAGCCTAGCTAACATGGTAAAACCCCATCTCTACTAAAAATACAAATATTAGCCGGGCATGGTGGTGCATGTCTATAGTCCCAGCTATTTGGGAGGCTGAGGCAGAAGAATCACGTGAACCCAAGAGGAAGAAGAGTTGCTGTGAGCCCAAGATGATGCCACTGCACTCCAGCCTGGGCAACAGCAAGACTCCATCTTAAAAAAAAAAATGTACATTTTCATTCTTCACCCAGAAACCTGGAGTTGGAGCCCAATCATCTGTGTTTCAACAAGTCCTCTAGATGACTGTGATGCACAATAATGTTTTGAAAACCACTGGTGTAGTTTTCTCCCAAGGAGAATGAGGATCTCTTTGTTATACTTTCTTATTTTGTATTTTTTTTGTCGTTTTGAGTCACAGTTTCATTCTTTTGCACAGGCTGGAGTGCACTGGCTTGATCTCAGCTCACTGCCACCTCTGTCTCCTGGGTTCTAGCGATTCTTGTGCCTCAGCCTCCCAAATAACTAGGATTACAGGTGTGCACCACCATACCTGGCTATTTTGTGTGCGTGTGTGTGTGTGTGTGTGTTTAGTAGAATGGTGTTTCACCATGTTGGCTAGGCTGGTCTTGAACTCCTGACCTCAAGTGATCCACCTGCCTCAGCCTCCCAAAGTGTTGGGATTACAGGCATGAGCCACTGTGCCTGACTGTTATTTTGTGTTTGAATAAAAGTCGTAGTGCTTTTTAAATATGTACGTAAGCCTGAATTTCGGTTTTAGGGAAAAGAAGTAACCAGACTGTTTGGGGCACAGACAGAGGTGTTATTTGCATTTTTAGCCCTTCTGAAATAACTTCGCCACTTTCATTAGATCTGTAGTTCCTGAATCATAGAAAGGTTTGTAATCTCTTTGTGTGTGTATGTGTGAGCCAAAGATTTATTTCTTCATTTCTTGCATTTGAAGTACTCTTCAATGACATCCTTGGCCTGAGACTCCTTGCCATAGTCTTAACTACTACTCAACTGCAACCAACCACTTTACGGGGCTTCCCCTCTCTGCCATTTTTAGAGAGGCTGACCCATTCCCCTAGTTTCTTGTTGTCATCAGCCTTAATTAGGTTGATTTGGTGTTCAGCACAAAAGGCCTCCACCAACTTGACATACATAGGCTCATCACAGTTGTATGCAAGCACGCAAAGATGGGCTTGACACTTGTCTAAGGCTTTGGCAGCTTCGCAGATTCCACGTGCTAGGCCATCGTGGGTGAGGGCAGTCTTCAGTACCTCTTGTAAAGCAGTATTGATGTCCATTACACCTCCAGCAGCAATGTCTTCCTCGTCATGGCAGTGGGTTACGGGTGAAGCCGTATCTTGAACGCAATCAAGCCTCCACCTCTGCATGACCTGGTGGCAGCCGGGAAAGAGCAGTTTGTAATCTCTTGTATGAGCCTCTTCCGTTAATGTTTTTTTCTGTGCTCAGGAGGTCAGATCATCAAACCCAGTCTGATCTCTTGGTTGGAAAAAGAAGAGTCAAGGACAGTTCAGGGAGGCGTTCTCCAAGGTGAGTGTTCGTGAAGAACAACTCTGGTTGATGAGAAAGTCACTATGTTTGGAAGCATAATTAGGTAACCTTTTTTTTTTTTTTTGAGCTGGAGTTTCACTCTTGTTGCCCAGGCTAGAGTGCAGTGGCGCAATCTTGGCTCAGTGCAACCTCCACCTCCCGGGTTCAAGCAATTCTCCTGCCTCAGCCTCCTGAGTAGCTGGGATTACAGGCGCCCGCCACCACGCTTGGCTAATTTTTATATTTTTAGTAGAGATGGGGTTTCTCCATGTTGGTCAGGCTGGTCTCGAACTCCTGACCTCAGGTAATCTACCCACCTCAGCCTACCAAATTCCTAGGACTACAGTCATGAGCCACCATGCTTGGCCTAGGAAACTTTTTAACATGTATTTTCTCTCTGCAGGTTTAGATAAAGTTAGAAAATATTTAACTTCCCACACACTTTTACTTACAGAACAGTCCCCCCTTGTATGAAAAATGAAAACTTCATTTTTCACTGTTTCAGTTACCTATAGTCAACCATGGTCCAAAAAATATTAAATGGAAAATTCAGTCAGGCACGGTAGCCCATGCCTGTAATCCCCACACTTTGGACGGCCTAGGTGGGTGAATCATTGAGCCCAGGAGTTTGAGACCAGCCTAGGCAATGTACCGAGAACCTTGTTTCTACAAAAAATAGAAAAATTAGCTGAGGGTGGTGGGACACACCTGCTGTCCCAGCCACTCAGGAGACAGCTTTGAGGGTTGATTGAGCCTGGGAGGTCAAGGCTGCGATGAGATGTGATTACACCACTGCACTCCAGCCTAGGTGACAGAGTGAGACCCTGGCCACTGCCCCACTACCCCGCAAAAAAAAAAAATTCCAGAAATAAAACAACATTCCAAGTTTAAAATTTTTCACTGTTCTCAGTAGTATGATGAAATCTTATGTCATCCTGTCTGGCATGTGAATCATCCTTTTGTCCGTATATCCAGACTGTGTACACCACCTGCCAGTCGCATAATGGCCATCTCAGTTACTAGGTTGAAATATCATAGTATATACAGGGTTCAGAACTAGCCATGATCTCAGCATCCACCTGGGGTCTTAGAACATTTCTTTTTTTTTTTTTGAGACAGAGTTTCGCACTTGTTGCCCAGGCTGGTGTGCAGTGTGGCACAGTCTTGACTCACTGCAACCTCCACCTCCCAGGTTCAAATGATTCTCCTGCCTCTGCCTCCCAAGTAGCTGGGATTACAGGCACCCACCACCACACCTGGCTAAAATTTTTAGTAGCAATGGAGTTTCATTATGTTGACCACGCTGGTGGTGAACTCCTGACCTCAGGTGATCCACCCACCTTGGCCTCCCAAAGTGCTGGGATTACAGGCATGAGCCACTGTGCCTGGCCAGAACATTTCCTTAAGTCAATTTTTGTTACACGCTTTTCCAGAATTTCCTACTTTCACTCCCTGATATTCTATTCACTATCATTTTTTTTTTTTTTTTTTTTTTTTTTTTCTTTTCTAAGAAAATCAAGGTACATCTGCAGGAATCACTATCAGTTTTAATTTTTATAGCATCAATTTGTAATAAACGATCTAAAATTTTTTTTTTTTTTTTTTGAGATGGAGTTTTGCTGTTGTTGCCCAGGCTGGAGTGCAATGGCGCGATCTCGGCTCACCGCAACCTCCGCCTCCTGTGTTCAAGCAATTCTCCTGCCTCAGCCTCCTGAGTAGCTGGGATTACAGGCACGCACCACCATGCCCAGCTAATGTTTTTTTTGTAGTTTTAGTAGAGACGGGGTTTCACCATGTTGACCAGGATGGTCTCGATCTCTTGACCTCGTGATCCACCCGCCTCGGCCTCCCAAAGTGCTGGGATTACAAGCGTGAGCCACCGCGCCCGGCCTTACGATCTAAAATTTTTACTCGTGTCCTTGTCTTAGCCAGTTTCTCCCCCTTTGGATCATTTACATCAAAATCAAATTTTTGATGTAGCCCAAATCCCCAAATCTATTTCTGTTTTTTCTTGCCATGTTTAATTTGAAACAAATAGAAATGAGCCTTATTCTTTTCAACTCGTTCCATTTCTTTCCATTTTTTTCCCCCAAATCCTTTAATTTGTCATTATTGTTCACTCTGTCGCCAAGGCTGGAGTGCAGTGGTGTGATCTCAGCTCCTTGCAACCTCTGCCTCCCAGGTTCAAGACATTCTGCCTCAGCCCCCTGAGTAGCTGGGATCACAGGTGCTCACCACCACACGCAGCTAACTTTTGTATTTTTAGTGGAGACGGGGTTTCACCATGTTGGCCAGGCTTGCTCCCCAACTCCTGACCTCAAGTGATCTGCCTGCCTTGGCCTCCCAAAGTGCTGGGATTACAGGCATGAGCTACCTCACCTTGCCTAAGTCCTTTTATTTGTTTTTCTGTTTTATTTCAGGATGGGAATTGCAACTTGAAACGCAGTGGTCTACACTTCAGCAGAACTGTTTGATGGGTCAGACATCCATTGGGATACAATTGGTAAGATTTGCAAGGGATAGTTCTTATTTTCCATCCTCAGAGAAAATCAGGAATTCTGTTATGGAAAGTCAGCAAAAATAAGAGATATTTGAGAGAAGTTGCATACACGCAAGAGTGATGAGTTTGGGGGTGCTCTAAATGTATCATGAAACTTGTTTCTTCAGAGCTTCTTCACATTTCCACATATGGAACTAGACATTGAGTTTTGTTTTGGTGTTTTTTTGACACAGGGTCTTGCTGTCACCCAGGCTGGAGTGCAGTGGTATAATCATGGCTCATTATGGCCTTGACCTCCTAGGCTTAAGCTATCCTCCCACCTCACCCTCCCTAGTAGCTGGACTACAGGTGTGCACCACCACACCCAGCTAATTCTTTAAATTTTTTGTAGATATAGGATCTTGCTGTGTTGCCCAGACTAGTCTTGAGCTCCTGTGCTCAAGTGATCCTTTGCCTCAGTTTACCAAAGTGCTGGGATTGCAGGCATGAGCTACCACATCTGGCTTAGACTTTGAATTAAAAAAAATTTTTTTTTGTTGGCACAAGGTCTTGCTGTGTCACTCAGGCTGGAGTCCAGTGGCACAAACATGGCTCACTGAAGCCTTGACCCTTTGGCTCAAGTGATCTTCCCACTTCAGCTTCTTATGTAGTTGGGACTACAGGAATGTACCACCATGCCCAGCTAATTTTTTAATATTTTTTGTAGAGATAGGGTTTCATCATGTTGCCCAGGCTGCTCTGTAATTCCTAGGTTCAAACAATCTACCCACCTTGGCCTCCCAAAATGCTGGAATTACAAATGTGAGCCACTGCACCCATCTAGACATTGAATTTTAAAAACAGTATCTCAGAATTCTACAACAATCCATTATTATTATTATTATTATTTGAGATGGAGTTTTGTTCTTGTGGCCAGGCTGGATTGTGATGGCTCAATCTTGGTTCACTGCAACCTCTGCCTCCTGGGTTCAAGCAATTCTCCTGCCTCAGCCTCCCAAGTAGCTGGGATTATGTGCATGTGCCACCACACCTGGCTAATTTTGTATTTTTAATAGAGATGGGGTTTCTCTGTGTTGGTAAGTCTGGTCTGGAACTCCCAATCTACCTCAAGTGATCACCTGCCTCAGCCTCCCAAATGCTGTGATTACAGGCATGAACCACAACACCAAGCCTATGATTATTATAATTTTGAGACGGGGTCTCGCTTTGTTGCCCAGGCTGAAGTACAGTGACACCATCTTGGCTTACTGCAACCTCTGCCTCCCAGGTTCAAGCAATTCGATTCCCATGCCTCAGTCTCCCACATAGCTGGGATCATAGGCATGTGCCACCACACCCAGCTAATTTTTGTATTTTTAGTAGAGACAGGATTTCACCATGTTGGCCAGGCTGTTCTTGAACTCCTGACCTCATATGATCTGCCCCGCTCAGCCTCCCAAACTGCTGGGATTACAGGCCTGGCCACGATTAAAGTAGATGGCACAGCATTCTAGAATAAGAGTTAAGTCATACCACTTAAAATAAATCTACAGGGCAGGACCTGAATGCATGTAATAAAAATGCCATAAATTATAATCATTATTATAATGTTTTTAGCTTCAGATGGGTGCATTCTGTTAATATGTTTGATAAAATTCTTATCATCCCTTCAACAGGAAGGAAACCACAATAGAGGGAAACTTTGTGACTGTGAGCAAGGTGGAGAAGTGTTCGGTGAACACTCATGCCTTAAGATGCACATGAGAACTCAAAGTACAGGGAACGCTCATGACTGTAATCAGTATGGAAAAGATTTCCTTATTCTGCATGAGAAAACCTCTACTGGTGAGAAACTGTCTGAGTTTAATCAGAGTGAAAAAATCTTCAGCCTGACACCAGATATTGTATGCCAGAGAACTAGCACACAAGAAAAGTCATTTGAATGTAGTCATTGTGGAAAATCCTTCATTAATGGGTTATACCTTCAGGCACATGTGAAAACGCACAATGGAGAAAAACTCTATGAATGGAATGGGCCAGGTTTTATTGACTCCACAAACCTTTCTGTGCTTATAGAAACCCTCAATGCAAAAAAGCCCTATAAATGTAAGGAATGTGGAAAAGGCTATAGATACCCAGCCTACCTCAGTATTCACATGCGAACCCACACTGGGGAGAAACCCTATGAATGTAAGGAATGTGGGAAAGCCTTCAATTATTCCAATTCATTTCAGATACATGGAAGAACTCACACTGGAGAGAAACCGTATATATGTAAGGAATGTGGGAAAGCCTTCACTCAATACTCGGGCCTTAGTATACATGTACGATCTCATAGTGGAGACAAACCCTATGAATGTAAGGAATGTGGGAAATCCTTCCTTACGTCCTCACGCCTTATTCAACATATCAGAACTCACACTGGAGAGAAGCCTTTTGTGTGTGCTGAATGTGGGAAAGCCTTTGCAATTTCCTCAAATCTTAGTGGACACTTGAGAACTCACACTGAAGAGAAGGCCTGTGAGTGTAAGATATGCGGGAAAGTATTTGGGTATCCCTCATGTCTTAATAATCACATGCGAACGCACAGTGCCCAGAAACCATATACCTGTAAGGAATGTGGGAAGGCTTTTAACTATTCCACCCACCTTAAAATTCACATGCGAATCCACACTGGAGAAAAACCCTATGAGTGTAAACAATGTGGAAAGGCCTTCAGTCATTCCAGTTCATTTCAAATACATGAAAGGACTCACACTGGAGAGAAGCCCTTTGAATGTAAACAGTGTGGGAAAGCCTTCATATGTTCCAGTTCCTTTAGAATTCACGAAAAAACACACATGGAAGAGAAACCCTATAAATGTCAGCAGTGCGGGAAAGCTTACAGTCATCCTCGTTCACTTCGAAGACACGAACGAACTCACTAATGAGAAACTCTGTGCATGTAATAAATGTGGGAAAGCTCTAATTTGTTCTAATTCACTTCAAAGACATGAATGAGCTCACACTGGAGAGAAGAAACTATGAAAATTATTTAATTCCTGTAATCCCAGCACTTTGTGAGGCTGAGGTGGGTGGATCACTTGAGGTCAGGAGTTTGAGACCAGCCTGACCAACATGTTGAAACCCTGTCTCTACTAAAAATAAAAATAAAAAAAATCCAGGTGTGGTGGCAGGTGCCTCTAATCCCAGCTACTTGGGAGACTGAAGCAAGAGAATAGCTTGAACCCAGGGGGCAGAGGTTGCCGTGAACAGACATCGTGCCACTGCACTCCAGCCTGGGCGACAGTGTAAGACTTCATCTCAAAAAAAAATTATTTGATTAAATTGAGACTGCTGTCCCTATAAGAAGAGAAAGACACAAGTGGGACAGCAAATAGAGGAGATGACATGAGGTCATCACATGAGTCCGTCTGCAAGCCAAAGACAGAAGGCTGGAACAGATCCTTTTATCAAGGCCTCCAACCTTGCTTGCTGGCACATTGATCTTGGGCTTCCAGAACTTTGAGCAAGTAAACTTCTCTTGTTTGAGCCACCCATTCTGGTGTTTTGTTGTGGCGGCTCTAGCAAGTTAATATGGTAAGCAATAAGCAAAAAACGTTTATAGATTGTCCAAAAGCCTTAATATTCACATGCAAAGCCACACTGGAGAGAAGCTATATGAATGTAAGGCGTGGGAAAACCTTCATTGAGCCTTTGGTTCTTTCTACACACAGGAGAAGTTACATAGGAGAGACATTGTATGAATGTAAGGCACATGAAAAAGCCTGTGAATGTTCACTCTGTTTTAATCACATAAAAGTTGTCTGGTCATAGACTGTGTGAAAATAGAGGGGGGAAAAAAGGAAAGTTACTTTTACTGTAAAGTAAGGAATCTGTGACCTTGTACACCATATTGGAACTTGGAGCAGACCGAGACCCCATTAGGATTGTAGAAGAGCTTACATTAATGTTTTCTACCTTCTAGAAAGGTGTAAGAAGTTGAACTGGAGAGAAGCCTTCTCACTGTAATGCATGTAGGAAGCCTTACATTAACTCCACAGAATTTTTTACACATCTAAAATGACCTCAAAACCCTGGGAAGGTAAGGAATGTGATATAACCTTTAAATATTTTACACACCATAATATTTACATGAATTCTCATATTTATAATACTGTACTGTTTCATGAGTAGTGTTAGTACCTTATACTATCAAAATAATTCTAAATCCTCCCTCTCAGACCTTCCACCATTATTATATTTCACTTACCTGCATATGCACACTCGCACAGGAAACTAGCATATGTAATCTGGTACATTGTAGCTATTTTTCAGAAGCTGTCTGTTTGATCAATTAAGAATTATAAAAATGAACATTTGTATTTTACCTTCACTTCTTCCTTCTGTGCTCAAAGTTGGATGTATTTCTTGCACTTGATCCTCAAAACATAAAGCATTTTCCCCTTCTGGCTTCTTTGAGGATCTTTTGATATCTTTGATATTCTGTTATTTTTAAATGATATGCCTAGGTGTAGGTTTTTTTGGTGCTTGTCCTGCTTGGTGTTTGCTTAGCCTTCTGGATTTGTGTTTTGGTGTCGGAGTTAATTTTGAGATATTCAGTCATTATTGTTTCAAATATTTCTTTTCCTTTTTTTTCTTTCCATCTGGTATTTCGTATATATGTAAGATACAACTTTTGTAGGTATCCCACAGTTCTTATATCTTGTTTTTTATTCTTAGTTCTCTTTGCTTTTCAGTTGTGGATTTTTTACTGCCATATTCTCAAGCCCTTTAGTTGGCTGTTTCCTGGCCAATAATAAGCCTATCAAAGGCATTCTTCACTTTCTATTACACTGTCTTCAATCTCTGGCATTTATTTGTGATTCTTAGAATTTCTGTCTCTGTATTTACACTGCCCATCTGTTCTTCGATGCTGTCTGCTTTATCCATTAGAACCCAGGACATACCAATCATAATTGTTTTGAATTCCCAGTCTGATAATTTCAACAATCCTTCTATATCTGGTTCTGGTTCTTATTCTTTCTCTTTAAACTAACTTTTCCTTTTAGTATGCTTGCAATTTTTCCGTAGCTGGACGTGGCATACCAGATAAGAGGAACTGCTGTAAACAGGCCTCTAATAATGGTGGTAAGTTGTGGTGAGAGCAGCAGTGTTCTATTGTCCAGTCAGTAGATGTCAGCCTTTTAGTGAATCTGTGCCTCTGCACTGTGAACTTGATAGTTTTTCCCACCCTTTAGTTGGATCAGGATGTATAGAGTTGGCTGGAGTTGGTTATTTCCTTCCTCCGGGTCACTGAAGCTCTCATTAAACCCAGAAGATTGGCCAGGCATGGTGGCTCATGCCTGTAATCCCAGCACTTTGGGAGGCCGAGGTGGGTGGATCACCTAAGGTCAGGAGTTTGAGACCAGCCTGACCAATGTAAAGAAATACCCATCTCTACTAAAAATACAAAATTAACAGTGTGGTGGCGCATGCCTGTAATCCCAGCTACTCGGAAGGCTGAGGCAGGAGAATCTCTTGAACCCAGGAGGTAGAGGTTGCAGTGAGCCAAGATTGTGCCTTTGTACTCCTGAGCAACA